TTGCGCGGTGGGCGCTGCCTGGCAACTTGCGGCTGGCGCCCGCTGCGCTGCATCAGTTGCGCGAGGGGGCGCCGGCTGAGCGCGACGTGGCTCAGCGCGCGACCAACTTCCAGCAGTGGGTAGAGAAGCAGGCGGCAGGTGGGGGCGGGGGTCTTCGCGCCATCGCGCGGCTGCCGCTGAGGTCCGACGAGGTCACGGAGCTCGCGGTGGAGCGGAGCCGCTGGTGGAGGACCACCCGCGAGCAGGCCGAGCTGCACAGGCCTACTGACCTGGGCGAGGGGCCGCCGAGGCCGTCGGCCCAGGAGCTGCGCGAGGTGCCGCGCTCTTCCAAGGCCACCACGGGCATGTCCTTCTGCGCCGTGAGGCCGCGGCAGCTGGACGAGCTGTGCGACGAGGCACTCGAGGTCCTGATCGGCATCATTATGGCGATAGAGCACAGCGCCACGTGGCCGCTCATGACCACCAAGATCGGCTTCCTCCAGAATCGCCTAGACGGCGCGAGTCCCATCGCCGTCTTCATGGTTCTGGCGAGGGTGCAGGCGCGGCTGCGCCGCGGCGTGGCGCGCAAGTGAGGGCAGGAGAACGACCGCCCATACTGGTCTGTGGCGGCTGGCCGCAGCTGCGAGCGCGCCGCGCGGCGCCGGGCCGCCCTGGGCGAGTGGGCCACGCAGGGTGGCGCCGACAGCAACGACGCCGAGTCGTGGGTGGCCGTGGCAGCGCTGCTGGACCTGCTCAAGGCGTTCGAGCAGGTGCGCCACCACTGGCTGCTCGATGCGGCGATCGCGACGGGCTTCCGGCTCCGGCAGCTCAAGGGCGCTCGACCTCTACTGCGCGCCTAGGGCACTCTGCCTGGGCAGCGCCGCCTCGCAAGTGATTGAGGCGAGACAGTCCATCCTCCCAGGCGACGGCTTCGCGACGTCCATGCTGAAGCTCATCCTGATAGCGCCCCTGGACCGCCTGGTCGCACAGCATCCGACAGCGTCGCTGGCGGTGGTCGTCGACGACCTCATGCTGCACCGCGTCGGCGGCCTGGTGCGCGTGGCGAAGGAGGTGGCCGATGCAGCGTTCAAGCTCAAAACTTTGCTCCTTGACATGGACTTGAACGTGGCGCTCAAGAAGTCGAGGGCCCTGGCGAACCTCCCAGCAGCCCGTCGCTGTTTGGCTGCCAGGATACGCTGGCCGCTCGGTGTCGTTTCAAAGGCGAGCGCAATCTGGGCGTGGACATTGCATGTGGCAAGCGCATTGTGGGCAAGGTGCGCAGCGAGAATTTTGTGCAAGCTGGTCTTCGCCAGCGCCGCATCGCGCTGCTCAAGACTGGAGCTGGGCGCAAACAGGCGGTGCGCAAGGTGGCGAGGTCGGGGCTCGAGCCTAGCGCCCTACGGCAACGCCGTCAAGGGCTGCGCGACCATGGGGCTGAACACGCTGGAGGGCCGCGCCGTTCACTGCCGTGGCTCCCAGCGTGGCTGGGCGGTCGCGCACCCTCACGCTGTTGCTGACGCCCGTGCTCCACCCGATGTTCAGGGCCACTCTGTTGCCTATCATGATGTTGCTGCGCGCTGCCTGGGAGCACTGGATTCCGCAGCACATCAGCGCCTACTGCATGACGCGCTGCCAGGCCGTGAGCTGGTCCCAAGTGCGTGGCCCCCTTCAGTGCCGTGAGGCTGTCGCTGGAGAGGGTCGACTGGCAGGTGCTCAACAGCACTACCTGGCGCACGCACGAGAGCGACGACATCAACGTGTTCGAGCTGGCGCCCTGGCTCGTCAAGCGCTTGCCGATGCGGGCTGTGCAGGTTTGGCAGTGGCGCGAGGTTGGCAAGTGGCTTGGGATGGAGCACCTCGCCGATGGAGGCATCTTCGAGCCGCTGATAAGGATGGCCACCACTGGCGCGGTGAGCCGCAGAGGCGCATTTGGGCGCCAGCTGCAGGTCATGGAGGCCAAGGGCCAGGATCCAGCTCGGCGAGCTGCTGTGTACGCCAGGACCGTGCTCGAAAAGAGGCTGCGCGCGTGCACCACGCGGTGCTTGACGAGGCCGGTGACGGGGCTCATTGGCTTCGCCTATGCGTCTCCTACGTGGCCGACCGCTTGGTGCACGGGACTTGGCTGCCGCTCGTGAATCAAGCTGCGCGGGCGAGGGGCATCGACTATCTTGCTGTGGTCAGGCTGCAGATGGTCCAGGACTTCTGCGAGGCGGCGCCGTCAGCCGGGCGACGCATCCGTGCCCGCTACCACGCCGACATGCTCAGGCTGGCGCAGACCGACGAGCAGGAGTGGGACGAGCAAGCGGCGAGGCATGCTCGCTCCATGATCGAGGCGCAGGCAGCGTTCGACACGGCGCCTGGCAGGCGCGCCGCTGTTGTTGCCAGGGGCGCTGCTGCTGTGGCGCCTGTGCCGCCGCTGGCTGTGGCTGCTCGTCCTGAACTGGCGCCAGAACCCGCTGCCCAGCGGTCGTCGGCGACGTGTTTTGCTGAGCTCGAACGGCCAGGACCCGCTGGCCAGCGTTCTGCGACCTCACATGCTGGACTGTCTGAGCTGGAGTGGTCAGGACCTGCTGGCCAGTGGTCGACGTCGTCGAGTTTTGCTGAGCCCGGAATGTCAGGGCCCGCTGGCCAGCGGTCAGCGTCGCCACGTATCGATGACTCTCACTTTGGTCAGATGGACCATGGGCCGAGTCCCATGGAGGCTGACAAGGCTCCGACACTCAGGCTGCTCCTCAAGGAGCGCGGCTACCTCGCCTCGGTGATCGTCGACGGCCAGTGGTCCCAGAGCCGCAAGTACGAGAGCGGCATGGCGGTGGACGACTCGTTGGCGAGGTCGACACGCTCCTCCACATGCATTGCTGCTGCGCTGGGTGGCCGCCCGAGCGGCGCCCGCCCGACAAGGTGTGCGGGCTTTCGCAGAAGGCCGACCTGTCCGAGGCGAAGTGCCGGCTGAAGCGCGCGCCGTGGCCCGCGCCGCATGGGATTGCCAAGCGCAGCAAGCTGCCCCAGCGAGTGCGAGGGCTACTTCCCGTCGGGCGAGCTCTTCCTTGACGGCCCCCAGTCCGAGGGCGATTACGAGCAGTGCGCCAACGTTACTTGGGCCGTCATCGCGCTCGAACAGGGGCCGACGCCTTCCCGCGCGGCGCGTGAGGGATGTCGCGCGAGCCGCGCGTCGGCATCAATTGCGGCGAGCTCATGGCGCTCATCGTGGCCCTCAGGTTCGCCGTTCCGCCCGTCGCCGTGATCGTGGACAGCGGCTTCGTGAGCGGCGGGCTGGCGCACCGCTGCGCGCGGTGCGACCTGGGCTCACCTTTGGAGCGAGGTCTGGCGGCTGCTGGACGAGTTCGGGGGCTCGAACGAGGATGTTCCCTCGGTCAGGAAGGCGCGCGCCCGTCCATCTAGGCGAACGGCCGTCGTCGATGGCAAGAACCTACAGGGACGGGCTCGGCAATCGCTACGCTGATCGCGCGGCGAAGTCGGCGGCGGAGGCAGGACCTATCGCGCACGCTGGGCGGCGCCGTCTCGCCATGGCGGACAAGCTGGTCGAGGGCGCCGGCACGTGGGCGGCCGCCGCGGGCGGCGCGATGGACGGCAGGGGCACCGCGCGCAGGGTCGCCGCGGCTAACCGCCCAGGGGCCCGAGGGCAAGCGGTGGCGCAGCCGCTGCAGGTGGAGCGCGCCAGCGAGTGCCCCGGCTCGATCGTCGCAGCGGCGCTCAGCCACAACGAGACGCCGAAGCAGACGGGCAAGAACGTGCACATGCTGGCGCAGCTCAAGCCCCTGCGCGAGGCGGACCTCGTGCGCGAGATGCCTGCGGTGAGTGCGCAGCCTGCGGAGTGCTGAGCTCGGCGCGGGCGCCCAGCTTCGCCGCGGCCCGCGGCCGCCCCCGGGCCAAGGGGAAGGTCGCCTTCGCTGGGCTCGCGAAGAAGCTGGCGCCAGCGATCCCAGCGAAGATCACGGTGTCCGTTGTCTGGCTGACGGAGGCGCGCGGAGCCCGAGGGGCCGTCGCGCGCGGCGCACGTTGAGCGCGCGGGCGCTGGTCGACGCAGGCGAGAGGGCCCGCCGCCGCGCGCGGGGCCGCGGGCGTCGGGGCAGTCGGCACCGACTCTTCTGCGGCTCGTTCATCTTCCTCTTGCTGCTGCTGCTCCTCCTCCTCCTCCTTCTCATTCTCCTCCTCTTCCTCCTCCTCAGCCTCCTCCTCCTCCTCCTCCTCCTCCTCCTCCTCCGCCTCTTCCTCCTGCTCTCCTCCTCCTCCTCCTCCTCCTTCTCCTGCTCTCCTCCTCTCCCTCCTCCTCCTCCTCCTCCTCCTCCGCCCGCCCCCCTGGCCTCCTCCTCCCCCTCCCCCTCCTCCCCCCCCTCCCCCCCCCCCTTCCCTCCACCTCCTCCTCTCCTCCACCTCCTCCTACGTTCGGCTCGCGAGGGTGAGGGCCCCCCCTGGCGCCTGCCCGGCAGGCGAGGGCCCCCCCGCACACGCGCGCACGCACGCACGCACACACACACACACACACACGCACACACACGCACAACGCAACACGCACACGCACACGCACACGCACACACGCACAACACATACACAACGCACGCACACACGCACGCACGCACGCACGCACGCACACACGCACACGCACACACACGCACGCACACGCACACGCACGCACGCACGCACGCACGCACACGCACGCACGCACGCACACACGCACACACGCACACACGCACACACGCACACACGCACACACGCACACACGCACACACGCACACACACACACACACACACACGCACACACGCACGCACGCACGCACGCACGCACGCACGCGCGCGCACGCACGCACGCACGCACGCACGCACGCACGCACATACATCGCGCGCTAGGACCAGCGCCCGCGGCGCTGTCGCGGGAGGCGGCGGCGCGCCACAGGGCGCGTCCGCGCCGCGCGGAGGACCGCGCCCTCCTCCGCGCCTGGTCAGACAGATCATCGCTCGAGCTGCAGGAGCGCCCGTGGCGCGCGGCGCGGCGGCTCCAGGAGCACCGCGGCTCGTCGCCAGGCAGGATGCCGCCCAAGCTGCGGGGCCCCAAGATGACGTTCTGGGGCTGTTCGTGCGGCAAGGACAACAACTGGGCATCGCGCATCGCGTGCTCGTGCGGGAATTCGGCACCGCGGCGCGTGGTCGATGCTGCCAAGCTGGCGGGTCAGGACCGTCGCGCCAAAGGGGGGGCCCGTCCTCCTGCGCGAGCAGGTGCTGCCGCCTCAGGAAAGCTGCCGCGGAAGCCCGCCCCGTGGTCCAAGGAGCGCAACCGTGGGCTGGAGGAGCAGCTGCGGGCGCCCACGAAGCAGATGGCCAGCATCGCGCAGCGCCCGCCGTCGACGGCTACTGATGGCCCAGCGGCAGGAGGCGGCGGCAGCTTCAGGAAGGAGCGCGATGATGGCGACAATAACGCGTTCCACCAGAGGACGGTGCTGCAGGAGAAGATCATTTACCATGAGAAGGCCCTCAAGGAGTGCAGCAAGATGGAGGAGGACGGTGGGCCGCTCCATCTTCTCCACCAGAAGGCCTTGGAGGAGCCGCGCGGGCAAGCGCGCGCGCTGCGGCCCCCAGGAGCTGCGCGCCAGGCGACGACGCAGAACTGGCGAAGTGCAGGCAGCAGCTCGACAGGTACGAAGCCGACCTCAAGAGCCTCCAGGAGCAGCTCGCCAGAATCAGCCAAAAGATCACCGACAAGCAGGAGTCGATCACGGCCAAGAGGGCGGAAGTGGATATTTTCAATGTCGAGGCGATTCGGCAGGGGCGCGCGCTGCTGGTTGCTCGCGGTGAGATGTCGACGGCAAAGGCGAAGCTGGCCAGCCTCATGGCGAAAGACCTCATCGCCTTCGACATCGACGAGGACGAGCTGCCGGTGCAATCGCCTGATGCTCAGGAGGCGCTGGCGGCTTTCAAGGCCAGTCACCATTTCGCCAGGATCCAGCAGGCCGTGTGCAAGAAGGTCGATGGGCATCTGGCTTCGGTGGTCGCTTCAGCTCCTGTACCTGATCGCGATGATGACGATGATGATGCCGACGAAGGAGGTGCGACCCCACCTGGCGGTCCACACAGCGGCGGCGATGTCGACAGGGAGCAGGGCGCGCCCCCTAGCCGAACTGACAAGCGAGACGACAAGGCGGTCCAGCTGGTTGAGTCCGCCAAGGAGGACGTCGAGGCCCTCTGGATTTTCCTCAGCCAGCAAGCGCAGCCAGCCTCGGAGTGGACCAAGGAGCAGCTCCAGACCGCCATCGGGGGCGTCCAGAACACCAAGCACCGACGAACGGATGGAGGATCTGTTCGTACTGGGGGAACGGGTGGGCGACGCAAAGCCGCGCGTCAGCGGGGTCTCCCATGGGCCCGAGCCCCCTGTGCAGGAGGTCCCCGCCAGGCTCGCGACGACGCACATTCGTGATACATTCAGTGTTTTATAAGACTCTGCAGCGCAGGCTCCGCACCACGACTGCCATGGTCGTTCTGGCGCAGGAGATCGGCCATGGGTCTGGCGACAGCGAGGCCCTCAGCAGTTTGGCGGCAGCAAATCGCCGGCAATGCCTCGTGGTTCCAGGGCAAGCAGCGAGAGGACATCTTCCCACAGCAGGGCTTGCAGTCTTCGCCAGGGAAGGAGTCGGACTTCGAGGGCCGGCTTACCCAGCTGATGCCCCTTCCGAGGCGCACTGGCGACATCAATTCCAAGATGGCCCGCGGCTCGGAGTTGGTTGCGGGCAGGGCGCAACGCGTAGTGGTGGAGTTGCCCAATTGGCCGCCAATCAACGTCTACAACCGCTACCTCCATACGGCAGAGGGGCTGAGCGCCCGCAACGCGAAGATCCTCATGGCGATTGGGCTGGCGATGGCAGGCCAGATTCACCCGTGCATTGTGGGGGGCGACTGGAACATGGAGGCTCAGGTGGTTCGTGAGTCTACCTCCCCTGTGCACGCGCAGCTTGAGTTCGCGGTCCCGAGGCGCACCGCCTGCAGGACGGCGTCTTCCTTGTCCACGCTGGATTATTTCGGGCCCTCGACGGAGGCTATGCGCATGTTGGCGTCATGCAGTGCGGATCTCAGCTGGGTCTTCAAACCTCATCGGCCAGTCCAACTGCGGCTTGTGGCAGAATGCTCCAAGGTCAGGTATCTGACCTGCGTGGGAGGACCGCGGCCCACCTCCCGAGTCAGCGGCCCGTTCTTAGAGGACAGCTGGTCGATCGAGCGGAGCTTCGCGACGGAGGCCTTGATGATGGCCAAGGAGGGGCAGGCTACGGTGGCCTGGCGCTTCCTCTCCAAAGCTCGGGGTCGGTGGGTGGTTCGCGCTGCGGAACGGATCGGGCACTTCGCCAGCACGGAAGTACGCGCGCACTCACATGCGCGCGCCTTCCAGCCGCAGCGGGTTGAGAAGGAGCACGAGAGCGTCGCGGAGACGGAGCTGCAGGCTATCACTGACGGATGGAAGTGGCTACAAGACAGTTTGCAAGGGCTGGTGACTGCGCATGAAGGCGGTCGCAATGCAGCCCGGCATCAAGTTTTCCAGAAGGAGGTGCAGGGATTCCTCGGCGCGGACTACATGGGCCAGAACCTGGGCGCGAGGCTGGATGCCTCCATTCAGCAGGCAAGGAGGCTTCTCCAGCACTCCTGCGGCAAGGGCGACCTCGCCAGCCTCCTGGGGGATTTTGACGAGGGCGTTAATTTCGCGATGCAGCAGGCCAACAAGGATTCCGACAGACGCTGGAAGTAGTGGTGCGATGGTGCGTGTGCGGGGGGAGCTGGCAAGTTCCATCGACTCACCGAGGTCCGCGAAATTCAGGCACCCACGACGGTCAATGACGCGGAGCACGGCATCACTGGCCACCCGCACTACGTCATCAAGGACATGGAGGACAAGCGCGTAAAGTTATGGGGGGCTGCGACGGAAGCCCCAAAGGCCTGGGTTCCCGACCGCTCCACCTTGCAGCGACCGACTCCAGCTGAGCTCCGTCACGCGGCAGGCACCTTCAGCGCCAAGACCTCCAGCGACCTTGATGGGTTCCACCCGACCCACCTCCAGCACCTCAGCGATGACGCGCTCGAGGGGCTGTGCGACATCATGCTCGCATGTGAGGCGCTCGGGCTCTTCTCTGCGCAACTTGCGTGGATGGCGATGCCGATGCTACCCGAAGCGGCTGGGGGACACCGGTTGGTCATGCTGCACTCGATGGCGCGCCGAGTGTGGCAGCGCATGCGGAAGCCTGCCCTACTTCAACGACAGCAGCCCCTATGGCGACCGTACTGGGGAGCTGCGAAGAACAGGGGCGCGATCGACAGCGCGTGGATCCTGGCCGCGGACGCGGGGCAGAATGCGGCAGGGGGGCGCCGCGCCATCACCATCATCGCCGACTACAGCAAGTGCTACGAGACGATATCCCTGGATGAGGCCTGCGACAAGCTCCAGCGCCTGGGGATGCCGATGCCGATCACCAATGTCATTTTGCAGTGGCGAGGACCCCGCATTCGTCTTCGTCAGCATCATCGCTCCCAACCTCGGCACACGCGAGATGGGCTACCAGCAGGTGACGGCTACGCAGACGTGGTGATCAAGGCGCACGCATTGGAGCAGTATGACCTCTACGTGGCGCTCCATCCCCTGGTCCGTTGCTCGTCCTACATCGATGACACTTCTCTCGGCCTCAACAGCGCCACTACGGAGGGAGTGATAGAGCAGGCGGTCCAGGCGGGTCATGATTTCTTCAGTACAGCGCGACAGCTAGGTGCTCGCCTCAATGAGAAGCTTGCGGTGGCCGCCAGCTCTGCGGACATAGGCGAGACTGTCACGCAGCGACTGGGTACCCCAGCAGATTTGCACCAACGGAGGGCCTTCTACTTAGGCACTGATTTTTCGGGAGCGAGACGACGGGCAGCCAAGCACACCAGGGCCAAGTATTGGGACATATTACGGATTTACCGACTTCGACTGCGCAAGCTAGGGCGCTATCGACGACGCCTACCAGGGCAACAGACGACACGGACGGGCAAATCTACTGTGCAGGAGCACGGCCAGCAGCTACCTACGGTGTGGAGGTCAATGGTCTTTCAGATACGGAGCTGCACTGGCTACGCACCGACTTTGGGTGGTTTTGCAAGCCTCGCCATGGCGGCGTTTCAGCTACCATGAAGATTGCGCTCCCGGGAGATCCTGCAGTAGCTACTGCCATGGCACCTGCGCTACATTGGTCGCGGATGATCTGGTTAGCGATATCACAGCCACAGCGTGCTCCAGTCCCCCATGGCCCTTCTCACTGCGTGGTGGCGGCGAGCAGTCGACGAGCCAGGTTTCTGCATCTGTTGGGGACAAGCACGAGGCCCCCTGCAGAGAGCAGCCTTGTCCATTGCAAGGGCGGGCTGGACCCCAGTTTCAGGCATCCTGTGGCGTAACCACCGCGGCGACGATGTTCACGTGGATCAACTTGCGCCAGGGCTGCTTTTCATAATGTTGCAGGAAGGTGTTCAGTGTCAGCACGAGAAGGCCTTGGCCAGCAAGATTGGCATCGGCGAAGGCATGCGGATGACCTTTGACATCCTTAAGCTTATCATCTCCTCCAAGAGCAAGCGGTACACGGCCCGCGAGAAGTTCTGCATCATGAATGTGGCGTGCAACGGAGTATGGACGCCGCCTCGTGCACATCAAGCGGGGTGCCGCACCGAGGGGCTCTGCCGATGCGGAGCACAGGACACCCTACTTCATCGCCTACTCGAATGTACTCGACCTGATGTTCTGCAGGCCCGAGAAGATGCTGAGGTCCCTGCTCACCTACTGGAGCAACTTCGGGAGCATGGGGATGATCCTGGGTTCATACAAGGGGCATTCGCATATCAGTCCTCATCGGTCCCACCTCTGGATCCAGGGCTGAGTTGTGTCATCTTAGACAGCCAGGGTCTAGACAGCTGCGCCGCGCCAGAGTCAATGGTGCGGAGCTACCTTCGCGATGCTGATGACAGCATGGAGGTTGCGATTGACGGGTCCTGCACCAAGTCGCCTATGCGGGAACTCCAACGTGCAGGATGGAGCATTGCTGTCCTCGACCCGCGATCAAGCACCCCGCTCTGCTCTATCCATGCGCCTATTCCAGCATCCCTGCCGCAGTCATCGGCCGTGTGGGGGGGGGGGCACCTCGGCGCGGCACTCGTGTCCCAGATCGCCGACCGCCCCTGCCAAGTCCACGCCGACTTCACGGGAGTCATCAAGCTGGGCAACCCGGGAAAGGAGCAGCAGCTCGCCAGCAAGACGCCCTACGCATGCGTTGCCCGATTCGCGCAGTCGCTCGAGGGGTTCCAGCGCGTCCAGCAATGCCACCATGTGAAGGCGCACAGGTAGGGCACCGACTACGAGGCGATGGGCTACGAGCAGCGTCGATTCACTGATGCCAGCATAGTTGCCGATGTAAGGGCAAAGACGGCGACATCCATGCACCCAAGGCCTGATGATGACATAACCGACGCCATGGAGACGGCCGTCGGCAGGATAGGCAAAGTAGCACGGCTTGTGGCGAACGCGATGCCGATCTCCGATAAGGACGACCAGCTGAGATGGACGAGGCGAACCCCAGCACATCGGCGTGCGGCTAGCACGCGCAAGGCTACATGGCATCAATTGCATGATGGCGAGCTCGGGGTCCAGTGCCGTGCTTGCCCCCACTCCCACTGACGGGGTGCGGGGGCACCCCGCTCATCCTCAGCCTGTTCCAGCTCAATCAGCTAGGCCAGAAGCTGGCGGTCAACCAGTGCGGGACACTGCTTGGAGACAGCATCGAGAGTGTCAAGACTGTCTGCATATGCATAAGGTGTGGAGCCTGGGCGCAGCAATGGCGTCGTCTCAAACTGCGGCTTCCCTGCGTGGCGGCCGCAATGAAGGGCCTGGAGGTCTTGCAGAATCTCAAGAAGGGAGTGGGACCGCACAAAACATTGCATAAGTTCATTGACCCCACCTCCCCGCTCAAGAGAGTCACAACCGACGCGGTCACCAGCTGCACCTACACGAAGGTCGACATCCTCAAGGACGGCGACACCGTGTAAGAGACCACCACGCATTCGAGCACAGGATGGCGGCCTTACACCAGCGGGCACGTGAGCGAGAGAGTCAATTGCGTGCTGCACGTGAAGAAGGGAGCACCATGCTCGGACATGCGCAGCGGCGAGGAGATGCATCTGAACTGCACAGGGCACCTGCAGGATCAGCATGTAAACACGCTCGCGAAGGTGATGGCGCCCTCCAGCGAGAGGTAGTGGAGGAGACGAGCGCCACCACGCTCTGCGGCGCAGCCGTGAGAGCCTACCAGAGGTGCAGCCCATAACTCCCTGGGCGGCTACCCCCTCGACAGGGCACCTCCCAGCCAAGGGCGGACGCCGCCCAACGAAGGTGATGGTGCCCTCCAGCGAGAGGCGCTGGAGGAGACGAGCGCCCGCCACGCTCCGCGGCGCAGCCGTGAGAGCCTACCAGAGGTGCAGCCCATGGGCAGCCAGCGCGATGACAGCGGGGGCCAGCGGAACTCCCTGGGCGGCTACTCCTTCGACAGGCCCCCGGCCAAGGACGGACTCCTCCTAACAAAGGTGATCGCGCCCTCCAGCGAGAGGCGCTGGAGGAGACGAGCGCCCGCCACGCTCCGCGGCGCAGCCGCGAGAGCCAACGGAGGTGCAGCCCGTGGGCAGCCAGCGCGATGACAACGGGGACCAGCGGAACTCCCTGGGCGACTGCTCCCTCGACAGGGCACCCTCCCGCCAAGGGCGGAAGCCGACCGACGAAGGTGGGCTGGCGGATGCTGCCCTTAATGCTGCCCCTTCCCCAAGGGGCGCGCCTTCTGAGGCCGCGGATCCCGTTCCCGCTGGCCGGGGGCGTCAACGCGACCGCCTACCTGGACAAGGCGCGCCTCTGGCCGAGGGGGCTGGAGGGCGCGGGGGGGCGCGGGGCATTCAGCCTCCGCCCCCCCCGCCGCCGGCGCAAGAGGCAACGCTGCAGCCTCTGCGCGGGCGAGAAGCCAGCCAGCGACCAGCAGTGCCAGAGCAGGATCTCGCTGAGAGTCCAGGTGGAGCTCTACGACTCGTCGGCGGAGAGGGAGTACCAGTTGGCTCGACGCGAAGGCCCTGCGGCCTCAGGCCCCCCTCCAACGCGAGGAGAGGTTCGCGGAGAGTCAGAACCGGCGACGCGGGGGAGGCTGAGCACCTGAGAACCCCAAGAGGGAATCGAAGACGCGGAGATGATGGAGCAGGCGCCCTGCCGGGCACTCAGGAGGGGCTCGGGGAGGCACGCCAGAGCGGGCCCCGAGTTCGGGCGGAGCCAGGCGGCTCGCGGCCCGGGCGGCAGGGCGAGGGGCGCGGTGACGAAGATGGAGTTGGCGCACTGCCGAACACTCAGGAAGGGCTCCGGGAGGCACGCCAGAGCGGGCCCCGAGGTCGGGCGGAGCCAGGGTGCTCGCGGCCCGAGCGGCAGGGCCAGGGGCACAGTGGCGTAGGCGGGGCACCCACGTGCTCAGGAGGGGCCTCCTGCAGCGGGCCCATGGGGGCGGGGGGCGCAAGTGGTGTTTCCTGGCGAAATACACAGGAAGAGCCACCCCGCCCCCCGCCAGCGGCGGCGCAGGGGGCGAGAGGCCCCAGACGCCCAGGTGGGCATTCGTTCGAGGTGAACTCCAAGGGGATGGAGTTCAAGAGGCTAGTCGCCATGGCGACGGGAAGCTCGAGGACGAGGCGTTCGACGTCGCGAGGCCCCTCGGCAAGGTCGCGCCCCTCATCTAATGGGGGGCCGGGCGGGCGCGCGACCCTCGACCTCCGAGGCCCGCGATATCGATATCCTCCTCCTCGTCCACCTCAACTTCCTCCTCCACCTCCTCTTCCCCCCCCCGCCTCCTCCACCTCCTCCTCCGCCTCCTCCTCGGGGCGAGTCGGGGCTCAAGAGACGAGGGTCAATGCAAACGGGGCCAGCCGCAGCGCCGGATCTTGCTGGACCCCGTGGAGCCACGGGCGCGGTCCCAGATCCGGCAGGATCTCGGAAGATCCCGCAAGGCCCGATTGACCCCAGTCTGGAATGACCCGGGTGAGAAGACACCCGGATGTCGGGACGAGACGACGCGGAACAATATGACGACGGCGACGACGAAAACGACGACGACGACGATTCGGGTGGAGAGGTCTTGGGCCCCGAGGCTCGATCGAATTTATCGAGTCGTTTGACGTCTGGGTCGGGATGGCCCTGCGGCGCTGGAGGCTCCGCCCCCTCGTCGGCGCGCGCGCGTTCGCAGCGTGGGGCGTGGAGCGCGCGCGTTCGGTGCGTGGAGCGCCCCCCCGGAATCTTTGGAGGGCCCTCTCCGCCCCCCCCTCATCTTCGGGGCCCCGCGCAGCGTGTTCGCTGGTGAGAGAGGGGGGGGGGGGGTCAGCGCGAGAGAGAGAGAGAGAGAGAGAGAGAGAGAGAGAGGAGAGAGAGAGAGAGAGAGAGAGGAGAGAGAGAGAGAGAGAGAGAGAGAGAGAGAGAGAGAGAGAGAGAGAGAGAGAGAGAGAGAGAGAGAGAGAGAGAGAGAGAGAGAGAGAGAGAGAGAGAGAGAGAGAGAGAGAGAGAGAGAGAGAGAGAGAGAGAGAGAGAGAGAGAGAGGAGAGAGAGAGAGAGAGAGAGAGAGAGTAGAGAGAGAGAGAGAGAGAGAGAGAGAGAGAGAGAGAGAGAGAGAGAGAGAGAGAGAGAGAGAGAGAGAGAGAGAGAGAGAGAGAGAGAGAGAGAGAGAGAGAGAGAGAGAGAGAGAGAGAAGAGAGAGAGAGAGAGAGAGAGAGAGAGAGAGAGAGAGAGAGAGAGAGAGAGAGAGAGAGAGAGAGAGAGAGAGAGAGAGAGAGAGAGAGAGAGAGAGAGAGAGAGAGAGAGAGAGAGAGAGAGAGAGAGAGAGAGAGAGAGAGAGAGAGAGAGAGAGAGAGAGAGAGAGAGAGAGAGAGAGAGAGAGAGAGAGAGAGAGAGAGAGACAGAGAAGAGAGACAAAAATAAAAAGCACGGGATGAGGACGAGGAGGAGGACGACGACGACTACGACGACGACGACGAGAAGGACAAGGAGGCCAAGGAGCAGAAGAGGAGGATGGATGAGCAGGAGGATAAAAAGGAGGAGCTGGGCGAGGGGGCGACAGGGCAGAAAACCAGCAGGAGGCGGAGGATGTCGAGAAGGACGAGGAAGGCCGAGCATCCCGGCGGCCGCACATGGTTCAGCGGCTACAAAGGACTTGGGTGGCACCACGTTGCCCTCGTCGGGCCTCACGTGGGCGTGGCTGAGAAACCCGCTTCCCGGAGTGCGGGTTGCAAACCACGCCCCTCGCGAACCGCGCCCTTTCGGAGTCGCCGACTGGCGGCGCTGCCATCCGCCGCAGGTCAGCCCCGAACACAAAACACGGCCTACAAGAAGCTGCGCTGGATGCACAGCATTGACGAGAAGTCGTGAGGCGCTACTGCGCCGCCCCCGCCGACGCGCCGTAGGGCGCATAGCTTTTCCTTCCTTCCTTCCTTCCTTCCTTCCTTCCTTCCTTCGATTAAATCGAAGAAGAACACATGGCATAAACATAGACTTTCTGCGCTCCGTTCGGGCGTCTTGGATCGGCGCCCGGGGGCCCCCGGCGGCGCCTCTGGCGCCGTCCCTGGCGCGCCCCGCGTGCCAGGGAGGGGGCCCCCCGGCGCCGATCCAAGAAATCCGCGCGGACCTCCGAAAGTTTGTTCATGGCGGTTTTTCGTCGTTTAGGACATGAGGAACGCTCTGGGCACAGGAGGTTGGAGGAGGAGAAGGACGACGACGACGACGATGAGGAGGAGGTCCCGCGGGCGCCGGGCTGACTACTTTTGCCCTCGGGGCGGCGCAGTGCGCGACTGGGGGCTGGCTGTGACGGCTTGGATCGGTTGCTGAGGGCATCGCGCAGCCTCATCCTCTTCTTTGCTCGCGAGCTGCGCGTGCAAGGCACACTCGCTCGGTCGCTGGCTTTGGGGGTGGAGCCTCTCATTGGATCTGGGTCGGGGGGCCCGTTCGCGGCCGCGAACAGAGCCCCCCCCGCCGTTCCCCGCTCGGCGTTCCCTGTGACAGGCGTGGCGAGTGGTGGCTGCAGTCTGAGAGCGGGCAGGCCGAGCGCCGTCCTTCCCCTGCCCGGCGCGCTCCTCTTTGCTGGCCCGCCCTCGGGCCCGGGAGAGGGGCGCGCGGCCAGGGGTGCTCCGCCACCGACCAGCCGCGCGCCCGCTCTTCACTCAGGAGCGACAAAAACACACAGACACCATTCATCGTCGACTCCCAGAACATGTAGGGAAATATGGGAGGTGGGGGGGAGGACGAAGACACAGAAAATACGAGAAAGTATAAGGAGTCTTTTATTGCGTGCATGTATTTGTGTGTCCCAGGGCCCCTTCATTCACTGAGAGACAGCTGGGGGCGCGCGGACCTGCCGCCTTGGCTTCACCGCCCTGTTGGGCGCGTGGCCGACGTTGGGCTCCGCGGTGCGGGCTGCCGTGCCGCCTCTCCTTGGAAGCGCCGCGGCTCGCGCGCGGTCGCCTCGCGCGCGGCTGCGGTCTGAGGTTGCGCGCCCCGCGCCTCGCGCACCGGCCCGGGCGCGGCGCCATGGCGGAGGCAGGAGCAGCGCGGTTGACGTGGGATCTCGGCGTTGGTTGTCGTCGCCCCTCAGGCCGCTATCCACCCTCGGCCCACGCCCGCGACCCATGCATCCGCGACCCATGCCCGCGGCCCACCCACGCGATGTTTTTTGCACTGAGGCCGCCACCTGCCTCGGGTGGTCGGTGCCTTGCGGCGGTCTTCTCTGCGAAGGTTCTCGAACTCGCGACCTGCCAGGCCCGGGCCCCCCGGTTGCGACCCGACCCGGTTTCGCGACTCGATCCAGCTTAGGCCTGCCTGCCGACGACCCGCCCCGCAACTCACAAGTACCGTCTTGCAAAGGTCGGCGTCCTCGGCAGGCGCTCTCGCGCCGGCGCCGTCGTCGTCGTCGTCGTTGTTGTCGTCGTCATCGTCGTCGTCGTCGTCGTCGTCGCCGTCGTCGTCCGTCGTCCGTCGCCCGTCGCCCGTCGGTCGTCCGTCGGCGGCGGCGGCGGCGGCGGCGGCGGCGGCGACGGCGGCCGCGCGGGGGCTGCGGCGGCCACGCGGGGCCGCGGCAGGCTTTCTCGCGCCGGCTCGCCCCAGCCTCGCAGGAGCCGTCGGCGCGGCGCTACCTGCCTGTCCCGAGCGCGGTCGGGGCGCCCGGGCGCGCACGGGCCTGCCGGGGCCCGCGCGCGGGCCGGCCCGCGCCGCGCGCTGCCCCGTCTCATCTTGACGGGAAGGAGGTCGCTGTCCGTCAGATGCCCAGCTGGCTTATTCGAGGAAATTGCGCGGTTGATGAGCTCGCCAAGGAGGCGGCCCGTCGAGCGAGAGCGCCCCAGTCTAATCGAGCCAGGATTGCCCGCGTCGAGGACAAAGCTCGGCTGGTCAAGAGACGATTGTTGCGTGCAGGCCTTGGCTCGACTGCTGCTGCCCCAGTCAGCCGTGATCCCGAGGAACCCAAGCCTGCCCCACGCGTTCCCCCGCCTCCTCCCATAGCTGTTGCACGCTTCGCGTCCGCGCACGCCCTGACCGAAAATGGGTGCAGCGTGTGTGAAGGCTCGGCGATGAAAGCGTGTTTGTCCGATTGGCTAAAATGTGAGTGCTTCCAGCTCCAACCCGTGGATGGTACGTTATCCCGTCTACCGCGAGGGCGTAGGTTGCACCGCGCAGGAGGCTGGGTCGACCCCATCACACGCCCTAGTATATCACCACACTTAGAAGATATGGTACTGCGGCACATGCGGTTATTACGGTCTGGCCCAGCTCAGGGGCTTAGGCAATCCGCGCAGTATTCTTATATCCAAGACCCGACGAGAATACCTCGATCGGATTTCCAGGGACTTGTTTCCACAATCTGGCCACTGAGCTCAGCCTTTTTGTCCCTGCGGGATGGCGGAAATCCGGGAAATCCACCTTTTCCTCCCGCGCCCCCCCTCCTCGCAACCCCTCGTGGTCCTCCCTCTCGTCCTCCCGCGCCCCCCTCCTTCTCCTGTTTCTTCCACGGCCCCCCGCCTCATTCTCCCCCATCTCCTCCGC